TAAATTGTGTTAGCCCCAGGAGGCGAGGACCCGCTCAGGATAGTGACACTGACCCCAGAAGATCACACCACAGTGGCAGCGACACCTAGGTCACAGTTTTGGGGGGGGGGGGGACTGACAGCTGACACCCTCAGGGGTTCAGAGGATGAGACCATCCAGCTGGGATGTTTCTACAAATCGATTCCATGACATAGGAATGCAACAGAACGAGATGGAAAAGAAGGGGTTTGTGCAGCACACACCAACGCAGTGAGGAAGGGTGTCTGTCTAACGCCGGTCCCCGGACGCCTGCATGGCCTCTCATCAAACAATCACAGCTGGGATAACAGGAATAATGCCACACAGTAGGGGGCGCTAGAAAGTCGTGGGTATTACAGGAGAAAAAGGCATATAAAAACAGCATTATTTCTGCGTTATGTTATAAAATGTTGGTGATGTCATGCCACATGGATTTCCCCATTTCCGAGAGAGTTCCGATCGTACGTCGGGAATATATTTTATTTTGGACTTACTTGCAGAGGAGTAACAAGGCGCGAGCTTGTCTAGTCTGCAAACGACAACTCGCGCTCGCTCAACATCTGGATCCACGAGTTAGATAAATAAGCTCCTAAACAACTGTCGCTTAATATTATATAAGCGATTAGTTCTGGTATGAAAAAATTGCCAACAAAGAAAAGCGATGACGTTTAAGTTGACATAAAGGCGAAGGTGCGACGCTTACACAGCTGCTTTGGCGCAAATACGCGGCTTGGTCTTACACAAATGGCCCGCACACCACCCGTCCACGCAGAGCCAGGCTGTGCGCTTTGATCACACCACGCTTGCTTTTCATTCCCTTTTGCTCATTTATATGCCAGCTTGCTTGTCTGAACCCAAAGCACAGCATCCCGAAGGTATCACGGTTTGCTTTCATAAACGCAAAATTCACGAAATGAGGATGCGAAATGTACTAGGCAGGCGATGACAAATTAGAAGTCATCCCCTTCGTTTTATGTCTATGTAGCATGAAAAAGTATCTTCGTAAAACAGCATAACTGTATATTTAAAAAGTTTGTGTAAATAAATAAGTCAGTTAAATATCTGCCATGTATATAGGCATACCTTTGTTGTATTTCGCTTTATTTAAAAGGGAGAATCCTTTAATATCCCTGTTAATTTTACAGCTGTTTGGCAGAGCAGATCGTGCTGGAGCTAAATCGCTTCCACATTTAGTGCAGCCTGGCTCAAGATGCCAGAGAAGGTACTCACCTTAAGAAGCAGGACGAGTGTCCAGAGCCCAAGTGCAGCTTTTTCACGATGCATACCCAGGGTGTAATTTCCAAAGCACGGCAGAAGTCCCCGTAGATCCGCGTCCGGGCAGCCTGGAAGGCAAAGCGCTGTGTCTCTCAGTCTGCCCCCGCCCGCTGCGCCCCGCCGACGCTTCTTGCTGCTCCACAATCCAAGAACTTCCAAGGCGCACCTCTGATGATGAGCAAGTCTGGCTCACTTTTCTCCAAACCTCATATGGCAATTTAAACGTCCCGTGTTTAACAAATTCAAACAAAAATGCTTTTCGTGAAATATCATAAACCTAAAAGACTATAAGTAGTGTTTCTGAGCAGACTGGCTTAAACGCGCAGAGCCACCATCCCCAAGGAGCGTCGGTAGTACTGATGCTCGCACTTTAACTGGCGTCCCAGATGAACTCGCCGAAACGCCGTTCAAGCAAACGGGACACCCCCCCCCCCCCCCCCCACATATACACGTGACCTCGGGCTTTCTCCGTGATTGGTTGGCATCACTGGCAATAAAAACAGTGAGGGAATTTTGGTACGCGGCGTCTGCAGGATACAGTGCAATAAAGTTAAAAAAATGCGCTAGGAAAGAGTCTAGAGGGCTTTTAGTGCTCTGCATGTGAATGAAGACCCAGGCTTTGATGCAAATTGTACTTCCTCTCCCAAACGTCTATTTACTTCTCAATATTCAGCATTGAAACTTCAGCAGGAAACTACCGTAGTAAACAACATTTATTTAACGATAATAATATTGTAGTTATTAGTTTCATTGTTTATTGGTCTTATAGTTTATTTTGGGGGGGTACGTTTGCATTTAGGCTACACCTCGTTCAGTGTCTGTTGGTTTATATAAATATTCTAAATATATGATAATTAGCGATGTTTTAAAATGATTCTTTCCGTGGGTTGAAGTCTCGTTGACTGAAACCACTAGCATACAATCACGCCACCAGAGATACACCTCTCAATGCCCCGAGGTGGCTTGACGGGAGGTCTGGTCACTTCAAAGCATAACAAATGGAAACATCCTTTGGTTACAATGGAACGGGGACTTCAAAGACTGCATGAGACTGAGAGGGAAAGGAGGGGGGGAAGCCGTGGGGGTTGGGAGATGTGAAGGCCTGCCGATCACATATGGATTAGGAGATGCTCAGCAGACATACATATGGAATTGGGACAGCGGAAAAATGTGGGGATAATAACAGACAGAGGTGGAGACCCTAACGGAGAAGTCCGAGTGCAGCAGGAATCTTCCTGCTTCCCTGCTTCTTCGGCTGTGACGCCGAGTCGGCTTTGCCAAGAGAAATTCCCGGATTCCCGGAATATTACATCTCCAAGCGCACATAAGCATCTTTTACAGTAAAACACTACATGACTGAACCCTGTAGCTGCAGTGTTCATAATCAAAATTAGTTTACATACCGTCACAGCTCATTCTGTATGCCAGCACGCCAAGTACAGACCTCACATGTCTCAGCATACTACCGGTTTGTACCTTTTGACATTCCTTGTTAAAAGCATACAGTGCAAAATTAGCCGTATTTAAAGGCAGGAACCGAAATGGGTACGGAAAAAAGTGAAAATAAAGTGATACCTTAACGAAACTTGGAACAAATTGTTTAAAAAGCCAAAAGTGTTTAAATTTTACGTTAAATATTACATTTTATTTTTGTCGCAAAGCATGATAATTATATGTAGTAAAATCCCTGAAGCCGTTTAAAGGGTGTATTAAACTATTTATTGCTTTGGAGGAAGAAAAGGGATATGCTTCAAAATTATGTATCATTTATCACAGGCATGGGCGTAAATTATGGGGGGATGGGGGAGGGTTGAACCCCCCCCCCAATAATGAGAACCACTGAGTACACCCCATTGGACCCCCTTAAATGGGTGGAGACCTCAACCCCCCCAATGCTAAACTCAAAGTCATGTCCTTGATCCTATAGGCCTGTATTTCATTTTAAAATAAATCTCATATGAGAATCTACCTAAGCACAGAATATATTTTTGCCTTTTTTGTAGCTGTCCAAAAGTCTATTTAAAAATGTTTTGTTCTTGTCAGAATTACATCTAAAATCAAGTATTAACAAGTACTGCAAACATACGGTTCTGAATGATTAATAACTGATGATAATTTGGATGTTGCCTGGGGGGCGGTATAAAACATGTATGTGAACATTGTGTTGATTGTAAATAGGTAAGCGCACAGCCCGGTCCTCGGGGACCCCCAGCGCTCCCTCCCAGCTCCCAAACAGACGAGTGCTCAGCCAGCTGCAGAGGCGTAGGTTACAGTATATATTAAAATTGGGGGTGACGGGCATATCGGGGTCAGAGGTGTGACGTCACGTCGATTCTGTAGTCGCGCTGTATACAGTTCGTTTGCTGTGAAATTACTGTCATTCATCTTCACTAATATGGTAGTCTAAGTGCGTTAAGTTTAAATTAAATTAAATTCAATTATTAAAATTTTGCACACTTTGCACGAGATTCCGCCAGGAATGTCAGGTCATTCATTGTGGAAAAACGACCTTACCTCAGGGTCCACTGTGATGCCCCTGTCGCTCTCACAAACACAACCAAACCATACGTTTCCGGAAAGAAACACAACACACATAAAATAATAACTGGAAGATCTTCTCCTAGAGACCGATAGAAGTAAATATTGGAGATTTACTGAATCTTGATAATAAATGGGACTTTTCTGTCAGCACTATTTATGATTCTAACTAAATGATTAAGAGTTTCTGGTAACTGAGTAACATACTTCTTGGCGATTTCCAAATAAATACCAGATCTGGCCCCTGTTTTGATGGGCTTCTTACTCATTGTTATGCTATCATATTTAATGGCCCCCCCCAAAAAAATAATTAAAATACAAGTATAAAGACATGAAATTGGAGAATTATGGTTGTCCTTTCTCATGGTGGAGCCCTGAGTTGATGCTCCTGCTTGTGGTCACAGCCTCCGTCTAACATCTCGCTCAGCAGAGGGCAGATTCTGCTTTAATCCCGACTGTCCCCCCCTCTCCCAGCATTGTGCCTCACTCAGACCTCCTTGCACTACCACAGAAGGGCGTCATACAGGCTGAAACATCTGAAACATCTGTATCTTTTAGAGCAGTGTCTCCCAGCCTAGTCCACGGTTTTGCTCCCTCCCAGTGTCTCCCAGTAAAACATGGCTTGTCTGGGGACCTCCACTGCGGACCGGGTTGGGAAACACTGATCAGACTGCCTACAGACTCCGATATCTGATCTGATGTTTGTACTTTGCTCCTTTTCTCTGAACTCTGCTGAATCACTTACTAAATCTCTGTTAGAAACCATCAAACAGTGTCCTCTAAAAAGCACAAAAGAAACACACTGTAGCATCAAACTTTAATGCTGCACCCTGAATGTGATCTGCAGGTTACAGCCATACATACATTTCAAATATGTGCAAAAGATACATCGTAGTGATGTGCTGTATATTTATATATGACTGAAATGGAACCTACGGTCTGCAGTGAAGGCGTGCAGGTTTTTCAGATGGGAACCACACTGCACTGTGGCTAGTATTATGTTTGACATGTTTGGTTTAAACATTCCAGAAGCTGTTTAGAACCTGGCTGAGAGTGAGACCTGAACGCTGAAGCAGAGGATGGAGGGCGTACCCCCGTAATATGTCCCTGTTCCTTTACCCAATGACAAACAATGTTACGTATTTTTGTTCTGCTTGCAAGCCTCTCTGAAGGGAAAAGAGGGTTCATGGATGGCACTCTGCTGGCTGCAGACTTGCGAGATGTGCAAACATCTACCCGCACCGACTGCAGTCCGGCAAAGGAAGCGGGAGCTGAGATGCAGACCTCACAGCCTGAGAAAGGGGGGGGGCCCACGCGCTGAGCCATTACTGTACGCAGCATTAACCCCCCGCCGTTGGCTTTTACGGCCGTGTCGTTGCAGCCTTCACGGCTCCGCCCTCCTTCCTGACAGTCACCTGCTCGAGAGATGGCTGCTGTGGGAACAGGGCCTGTCTGAAAGTGACCGACCCTGGAGGTCCACCGGAGAGGTCACGGCTGGGGTCTACTAACAACATGTGCCTAAAGAATAAAGGGCTTAAAAACACAAAAAGAGTCACCAAACATTAATGTTGAAATAGATACATTATTAAGCAAGGCTTGCATGGGGATCTTACACTGCAAGAGCCGCAGAGCTCAGCCTGCAGTTGCTTTGTTCTGATGTTAATCTTCATCCAGCCTGCAAGCAGGTCCTCCAACTTACAGGGAAATTTGGAGGCTGGTGTCAGGATTGGCACTGCAGCCACCAGAAACAATACTGTGTGCTACTCCATTCCATTTGACCTTTCACCTGCTACATGGCTGCACTCGGGTTCTCATTGCTGGGGTGCTTCAGTGGGTGTGACCATCTGCCATATCGTCGTGTGCTCTTTACCTCCTCCATAGCACCATTATGTTTGTCTTGTCATGAAGGTTGCACTGTGGGTTCAGACGGAACCTTATTTCATTTCACTGTGTGCTGTATGCAGCTGAGACGACTATTAAGCTTTACTTGACTTCACTGGCATCCCGTGCCAGGGGCCTCCTGAGAGCAGCTGAGGCTCTGGTACCGTGACCCTGTACCAGAAGTGGCCAGAGGGACCTGAAACACTGAAGATCATCAGGATCCTCTGCGCTCCCGGCCACACCGATGCTTTTCCATCGGCAGTGCTAATCTGTCCAAAAGCCGAAGGTCATGACCTTGCTGCGCGTGGTCACGTGGCATGCAATGCTGAGATGCAAGCAGCTGGCAGCGTAAAGAGAACAACCTCGCCCAAATAAATGCCACGTCAAAAACACCTTAAGAAACCCATTAGTGGCAGGGGAGGAGGGGGTAGTGAAAGGTATGCCCCCCCCCCATGCCAGCGAAACACTTTCAGATATCAGATGCCTTAAAAGCACATATCATGAGGGACGGTAGGGGGGGGCAGACTGAGGGGTTTAGCAGTCACTCACAGACACTTGTGTGGCCCTGACATCCCTCGGGGGAATCTCCTGGCGTGCAAGCGTCAGTCAGCCCAGCCCAGCCCAGCTGTTATCTCACAGCTGTCAGCGGCATGGGAGCAGAGGCCTGTTGCTCCTCCTTGGGATCTCTGCCCATATCTGGAAGGTCGCGGGTTCAGATCCCGTGGCTGGCAAACCAATCGTGTCACCAGCAGGCCCTTGAGAAAGGCCCTGTAGCCCAGCTTTTCCAGGGATGTTGGGTGTTGGCTGATCCTGCCCCTCTCAAACTCTGCAGAAAACTCACTGCTAATAAAAAAAATATGCATCATACAAACGTCTCTGTGGCCACAGCTGAGGAGGGGAAACCCAATAGAAATTGGATCCCGAAATGTACAGTTTCATCAGCAGGTGTAGATTAAATTATGGCGTGACATGAATTTTCATGCTGTAAATCTTGGCTCCTTCACGTCCTGATGTTCAACTCATCTGAGCAGATAAGATCTGTGATCGTCTATGTGGTCTGGCAGGACTCCGAGTCAGACATGATCTCCACACCGACGAGCTGGTACCTCAGCCAAGGCTTCTTTAGTGTCTACACACATAGACACACAGACACACACACACACATGCACATGTAGGGTATACATATCCTTATGGTGACTGCTCATTCATTTCAATGGGAAAAATGCTAACGCTAACTATGACAACCTTAACCCCTACCCTGCCCTAACCATAACCATAATTAACCTAACAAAATACAAGAGTTTTTGCATTTTTAGTTTTTTCATAGCAGTCACCAATTTTTATAAAATAGAGTTTTCCCTTATGGGGACCAGGAAACCGGTCCCCATAAGGGAAAAAAAACGGATATTTATCACTTTATGGGAACATTATGTCCCCATAAGGATAGGTAAACCCGCTCACACACACACACACACTCACACACACACACAGGCCCTCATCTCACACAGCTGTGGACCAGCTGCATGCCCCTGCCGCCTCCACCAGCCCCCCCACCCGAATCAAAACCAATGATTTTCTCTCTATGTCTTCTCCGACGCTGTGATGGAGGAGCAAAGCCATGGCTGCCGACTTGGGTGCGAAAGCCATGTTTCATCGCCCCCTACAGTGCGCGGGCACTGTTTCACCCATCTGTTTCTGCTGCATGTTTTCTCACCACAAGGAGAACTTCCCACACTGTTGTTGTACATATCATCACAACCAAAGTTGTCTACAGTTTCAATGTTGTTGTAGCACATACCAAGCCACCTTACTTACATTTAAAGTCTAAAAATGGAAGAAATATTTATTGGTCTAAACATGCTGGTAGGGTGCTCTCACACCTGCAGCATTGCAGGTTGCATGTTTTCTTAGTAACCCTGCCAAAACTGCGGGAGAAAATGTTATTTCCCTAAATCTAGAGGCCCAGCAGGTCAGGCACTACATGCTCTGCTGCCATCTTTCTCGGTGAATGTTCATGTCACTTTACATCGCCGTTCAGTCACGACCCGCCCATCACACGTGCCTCTCTGTGTAGGTCCTATAGCAGAGTTGTGCCCCTCACATTTTTTGGTTTGGTTCTAAAACTCATTTTACCAAAAGGTGAGCCCTCCAGTGCATGCTGTGCAGTGGTTCTGGGGAACAGTCCCGGTCACTGCCTGTTCTCAAGTCAACTTCCTGAAATAAACTAGAAAACAGGAACCCTGGAGATAAAGGGAATGATCGACACAAACTCTCGGATTATCTGAAGAGGAAAGATAAAGACTTGACCATACATATGGGAAAGAAGACTGTTGATGCCTGATCGGGGCTGGTTAATCAGGGTTTATCAGGGAGGAGGATGGCTAAAATAAGGAACAGGAGACAACACGTCCTTAGCACAGCTTTAAGATGAGCAGGAATGACAGCAGGCGGCTAACCCCCCCACCCCAGCGCCAGCTCCTCAATGATCAACCGCACAGCACTAAACAAATGCGACCAGCAGTCACATGATATGATAGGAGGATGGAGCAGAGTGTGAGGTGGAGGGCAGACAGAGCAGAATGCGAGCAGAATGAGAGCAGAATGAGAGGAAGCTTTAAAGTGCCAAGACGGGGGTGTGAAACGGCAGCGTGGGACCCCTGCAATAAAAATAAAAGGAACTCCTGTGATGTGTGCGTCCCAGGGCTGGGGGAGTAGGGGCCAGGTCGGGGGGGTGGGGGGCTGCTTTATGAGGTGCCGTGCCTCTCGGCAGGGGTGCTCCAGACAACGACCGATAGCAGGAGCTCCTCTGTGCGGGGGCCTGCCCTCTACACCCCCTCTCCCCACGCCGGGGGGGGGGGGTATCTGCCATTATTGGGAGGGAGACGTCTGCCCGGCCCCCACATTGTCAAAGGCCCAACTACAACCACGAGTCCCCTTCACCTGGCTCCCTACTCAGCTTGTACTAACTCACCTGGCTCCCTACTCAGCTTGTACTAACACACCTGGCTCCCTACTCAGCTTGTACTAACTCACCTGGCTCCCTACTCAGCTTGTACTAACTCACCTGGCTCCCTACTCAGCTTGTACTAACTCACCTGGCTCCCTACTCAGCTTGTAC